AAGTGAAACAAAATTTGGGTAGGAACGACCTGCAAACCAGAAACAACAATAAGAACACAAATGAGAAATAACTATAAAACCATACTCATAGGAAGACATTTTAATATAAACTTTCATTAATTATTAATTGATAAGTTAAGCAAAAAATGCTAATAAGAATAAAGAAAACATGATACAGTTAGTTTAGTTGAGTGGACATGGACACACATGATGTGGGATTGCCCCTCTGTATGCTGTGAATACCACTGGTTAATAAAGAAACTGTTTTGGGCCTGTGATAGGGTAGAGCAGAACTGGGGGTGGGGGAAAAAACTAAACTGATTGCTGGGAGAAAAAGGGCAGAGTCAGAGAGAAGCTGTGGAGCCGCTGCCAGAGACAGATAAACTGGAACCTTGCCAGTAGGCCATGAGCTTCGTGGTAAAATATAAAATACTGGAAATGGGTTAATACTAGATGTAAGAGCTAGCGAGCAATACACTTAAGTGATTGGCCAAGCAGTGATTTAAATAATATAGTTTCTGTGTGATTATTTTGGGAGTCTGGGCAGCCGGGTAAACAAACAAGCAGCTTCTTACAACACACACGTATATATGTATTTGTGCAGATGTGTTTATCTTTGAATTTAACAGCTAAGATATACTTAGAAATCACACTGAACATTAATAAGTTGGCCAATTTGTATCAACAGAGATGCCTGATTTGTTTCATAGCACGTTCTGTGATTATGACAGAATTTTTTTTCAATAGACTAACAGACCAATTAAAGAGGAAAATGAGATACTAAAAACCACACTTCAAATAAAACAGTACATATTGTAATCTCTAGAATGTAGCCGAATTCTTCCATAGGGACAAAGTATAACCTACTGTCTATGTGTACAGTAAGTGAAATAGAGCATGTGTGTCCTACTCCAAAATTAAAGTGAAAGAATAAAACTGTAGAACATGAACTAAAATGCTAGTAAATCTTTTTTAATTAATTAATTAATTAATTATGCATACAATATTCTGTCTGTGTGTATGCCTGCAGGCCAGAAGAGGACGCCAGACCTCATTACAGATGGTTGTGAGCCACTATGTGGTTGCTGGGAATTGAATTCAGGACCTTTGGAAGAGTAGGCAATGCTCTTAACCACTGAGCCATCTCTCCAGCCCCCAAATGCTAGTAAATCTTGAGAGGTTACATGAGGGTACTAGAAAGTGAAACAGAATAAAACTACAGAGGCAATAACTAAAAATCATTGATTATAAACATTAACAAAGCTAGATGAACAGGTCAAAATTGATCAAAGAATCAGTATGTGGGAAAACACAAATGCATGGACAATATGACGATTTAAAATAATATCAGATGTAATTTGAGTAAACTTATAAAAGCAAGGGAGAATCTCTGGCTTTACTTAATTGCAAATGAAGACACTTTCTTTTCCAACTTTTTCTGTAGAATGAGAAGGAAAGCTCTCTTCTATCTTTCTATCTACCTTGTGCTACTTTGAGAATAAATGCAGACAAAAATCAGTATGATAAAAACGAAGTTAGAGACCATCTCAGTCAAAAGCATATAAGCAAAAGTCCTAAATAAAACATTAATAAAGACAATAAAAACAATAGAAAATATACATCGAAAGAGAAGTCCCTGTAGATGCCCCCCCCCAATAAAAAGTCTTAGTTCTACTCCCTGTTGCAGTTATTAAAATAACCTGACAAAAGCAATTTGGGGGGAACAATTTATCTTAGTTCACAGTTCCAAGATACAGTTCCTCATAGTAGCGAAGTGAAGGCAGCAGGAACTTGGAACATCACACTACACCCACAGTCAGAAGCAGAGAGCAATACATTAATGTATGAGCGCCCAAGCTCAGGTCACTTTCCCCTTGTACAGTACAGGACCCAAACATCAGAAATGGTGCCATCTACAATGAATGGGTCTTCCAACCCCAATTACTATAATTAAGACAATCCCCACAGATACACCCACAGAGCAATCTAGTCTAGTCAGGATCATCTCTTTATGACTTCCCAAGTGATTCTAGACTGTATCAAGTTGACCTTTAAAAAACAACTCTTAGAAATACTTATTGTGAGATCTCAACTGAGGAACAGTCTATGAGGTATCTGACCAGAACTCCTCAGAACTCTGAAGGCTGTCAACATGTAAAAAGCCTAAGAAATGGTTACAATCTAGTGAAAGCTTTAGAGATACATATATTGTTCCTAATTACCATTATATTTGCAACAGGAGGAAAAGTTAAGGAACTCTATGGGATGCAGAGGTGGCTCAGTGGGTGAAGGGCTTCCTGTGCAAGTGTGAGGGCCTGATTTTAAATCCCAGAATCTGCATATGAGCCTGATGTGGTGGGGTGGATCTGCAATCCCAGTGCTCCTGTGAGGAGAAGGGAGGTGGAGACATGCACAACAGTGAACAGAAGGCAAGGACCAATTCTCCAGAGTTGTCCTCTAAATCCATGTACATGCCGGGGCATATGTGTTTCTAAACACACACACACACATCTTTTTTTTAAATTTGTAAATAAAGTTTGGACTTTAATTCTGTTTTAGTACTGGCTTGTTAGTTGTAGTAGATAACCTAATGTGAGAAGCTGATTACTGGGTAACTAAACAGGGTAACTAGTCTAGAGTATTTGGAGATTATCTCTACCCTACTTACAATTTTTTCAAAAATCTCCAACAGTTTTAAAATAAAATGCCTATCTTTTAAATAATAACATGAGGAACAAATTGTTAAATAAAAATGTATTAAAACTGAATAGGAGATTAGGGGCTGGAGAGATGACTGAAAGTTAAGAGGACCCTGGTTCCATTCCCAGCATTTACATGGTGATTCACAGCCGTCTGTGACTCCAGTCCCAGGGGTTCCCATGCCTTCGTCTGACCTCAGGAGCACCAGGTGTGCATGTGATGGGCATGCAGGCAGGCAAACACTCATGTGACTAAAATAAATCTTGAAAATTTTAAAATAAGAAAATGAAATGAGTAGCCTTTACAGGTTAGGTAAAGCTGGGTGTGGTGACTCATGCCTTCAAGGGGCTGAGGCAGATGGAGCTGTGTGAATCCGAGGCCTGCCAGGTAAGTTACTTACACAGTAAGTTCCAAGACAGCTAGCATTACACAGTGAGAACCTTAAAACAAAAAACAAGGTAAAGAAATGAATGAAAAGGATATTTAAAAATCCTAATTGGACTTTTATATCTAGTTGAGTATAGTCGTAAAAAATTATAGATTGCTCCACTTGTTTCCTCACGTCCTTCCTAAGCCACACTGAAAGGACAGTTAAATGAGGCCTAGCTCCACAGGGCATGGGTAGCAGAGGGAAGATAATAACAGCAAAGATAATAACAGCAAAGAAGATAGGACATACTAGTTGAAATGGCATTGTCTCCTGACAGGGGACCTAACAGCTGAAAGGAGCCTGGCTACAATCCCAGCAGCTTCTCTGAGAGCTGGAAGGATAGCCATGTTAGGTACCTACACAAGTAGGAGGCTGGGATGGGACTGAACACAGGTGTATCCATTTCAGAACTTGTAACTGGGCATAATGGCCTTTAATCCCAGCACTTGGGAGGCTGAGGCAGGAGGAGTGTTGGAAGTTCAGGGCTCTACTGGATTACAAAGTGTGACAGCCTAGAGTAAGACAGAGTGAGATGGGGGGAAGAAAGGAAAGAATTAATTATCACTGCCCACAAGCTGCAGACTTTATTCTAGAAGATAAAGTAGATGACAGTGTTTTTGGGCTGTGATCACCAGAGCATGACTAAGTACAGAGATGATGTCTTGAAAACAAATGGATTAGATTAGATAAGGGTTTGCATACTTTCTCAGCAAGGGAGAGCTTTTTGGGGGAAATAATTTCCTAGGATTACAAAGTGGGACAGCCTAGAGTAATACAGAGTGAGAAAAGAAATGAAAATGAAAATGTCAGCAAGTTACCACCTCTTACCTAGTAGAATGGACACAAAGCTAGAAACTGTTGTAACCAAGTCCTAGTGAGGGTATGGATAAGTGATACTTTGTACTCCACTCAGGATGACACTAACTGTACTGGTTCATGAAAATGCCACTTCAGAAAATAATCTCTGTCTCTTTTCTTCAGTTGGCCATGTACTGACCATGCACTTACGTTACAACCCAGTTATTTACCAAAGAGAAATGTCGATATATGTCCCCTCAAACACCTGCGTGTGAATGTTCCGGGCTGTTTTATTCCTAGTTACCCAGATAGGAACCAATCTGAATGTCTTTCACCAAATGAAGAGATGGACTGTATCCCAAAATGGAATGTTAATCAGAAATCAAATGGATCAGACTCCCAGTGTACACACTCTTACGGATGAATCTCAAATGTATTCTGTTAAGTAAAAGAAACAGGGCCGAAAGGCTGATTACTAGCATTCAGTTGATAAGGGATTCTGGAAGATGCAGATCTGTGGGAACAGAGCACAAAGCAGCGCATGTAAAGGGCTTAGAGTGAGGAATGAGCTAACTGAAAGGGGTGCTCTTCAGACCGATGGAACTGAGCCCTGTCCTACTTACTGGGGAGTGAAAGGTGAGTGGTACATGACTGTGTGCATTCATTAGACCTAAAGGGTGAAACTTTCTTGTATGCAAATTATTCTCAATAAACCATCAAAACCAACACAAATGTCTCTCCACCATGATACTCCAGGTTGTCTGCTATTATGGTATCCGTCCTACTTGAAATCTCCCTCATCTTCTTACTTCCTTCATAAAATCCTGCACAGGATCAGCCCAAGCATATACATCCTTTCTGGTTGGGCTTTCAGTTTTTGAAGAATCAAATATTTGACCTTTCATGTCTAATGCTCTATTTCTGTTCTGTCAAATTCTCAACCATTTTTTAAATCTTAATTACTTTACTAGAATTCATAAAATTTAAGCACAGGTAATTTGCAGTAAGGCTAAAAATACTATGATGAAATTAAGATCATGTTGGCAGAGATTTTTCCATTCTTTCTCCACAGACAGCAGAGAATGTCTTGCAGACGACTGTAGTATAATTGCTGGAGGGAACCTCACTGGTTGGCATCCAGACTCCGCTGCTGTGTTATGGCGAAGAGTCTTGGGAATCCTTGGGGATGTGAATAATATCCAGTCCCCGAAGATCCATGCCAGGGTTTTTGGCTATCTCTATGATCTGTGGTACAAGCTGGCCAAGGTGTGTTCTGCTGTTACCTTTTATACTGATCCAGAAAAATTCACGTGCATCATTTAACATATAAACTAATTGATTGTATTTTAAAATGCAAATTATGTATTTAGATGAAGTCCATTGATTGTCCAAGAATAAGTCATAATATATGTCATTTTAATACTTTATTAAATGCCTAAGAGTTATTTCATTTAGTACAAAAGTATAAGAATAGAAGATATTAAGGATAGAATACTATATGGATTTATTATTCATTTTAGTAAAGTGTTGGTATTTTTATTATGCAAAGTTGGGAAAATGTAGAAAAGCATGAAGATATTTATATCCCCATTTTATAGAATAACCAGTATTAATATATAAAATATATATTTTCTTGAGTAAAGACATTTTAAAAAACAAACTCTTAGATACATTTTTCATCCTATCTCTTGTTTTGATACTAAATGTACATTTACCATTATAAAATATTTTTCCAAAATATGATTTATGTTTATATAGCATAATTTATGAAATCATTTCTTACCATTTGGAGTTCATGACCTCCCGAGGTATTCACATGCTAGGAAAAGCAATACCATTCTTTTGAGTTGAAGCTATAACTACATGCAATAAACCAGACAGAATCCAAAAGGATAAGAAATCTCATAATGAAAGAAAAACCTTGGTGCTGGTCCTGCTGAGCCAAGGCTGGGAGAAGGGCAGCTGTGGGCAGGGCAAGACAGCTGGGAATTGAGAAGAAAGAAAAAGAAAAAAGAAGAAGAACATGTAAATACTATAGATTTCTCATTCCACATATAAAAAATGTAACTGGTTTCTTGATTATACAATATTGCTGTATATTGGAATAAGTAGAATGTTACCTCACCCACAATTCTGTTTTGAATTAGATACGAGACAATCTAGCGATAAGCCTGGATAACCAGTCCTCTCCGTCTCCTCCACTCTTGATCCCACCACTCAGAATGTTTGCATCATGGCTATTCAAGGCAAGTGTTTATTCTTTTATTGCAATTTCCTCTTCCCTTCTGAAATTGAGTTTAAAAACTGTAATTGCCCAAGACTGCATGTTTTGAAGACAGACTGGGTCTTACTACAGCCAGCACATCCCACATCTCCAAACAACTCTTCAGGAAAACTGAGAAGTAAATGAAATGTTGAAATGCTCTGCATCTGGTCTTGATTTAATCTAGAAACATCATCTCCTTGGCAGGCTACAACTCTGCCAAATGAATATAAGGAAGGCAAACTGCAAGCCTACAAACTGATCTGCGCCATGATGACCAGACGCCAGGATGTTCTGCCAAACTCGGATTTCCTGGTGCATTTCTACCTTGTGATGCACCTGGGATTAAGCAGCGAGGACCAGGTATCCTGTGACTCCTTTATCATGGTGTCCCATAGTGAGGAACTGCTTGTCACACTTTATGTGTGTCAGGGCTTGTGAAAATATGCCAGAAATGCTTAAATCCTCAGTGGCTTCTACTTTTCACACATACAGTTTTCAACTTTATCATATTCTTGCTTCTTCCCCTCCCGACTCTACATGCACCAAATAAATTTGAATTTTATTCTGCAACCTACATCATCCACTCTCTGCCTTTGTTATCAGCTACAAAGTACCATCTCAGCTATTTTGCCCCTGTGGTTCTGGACAATTTAAAAGTGTTTGGAGATACATGTTTTAGTAGTTGTATTCTTTTGATGAGGTACTGTCTCCTATGACTTAAGGATATTGACATTCCTTGATGTGAAATTACTTTTATTTCTTCTAAAGAAATAAAAGATTTTGTTTGGTAGGACCAAAGACCCAAGGCCTTCTTCACAAAGCTCCAGCCCCCTCTTTGTAGATCCTGCCTTTAGGATTATAGGATGTGACCAGTACCTGGTCTTCCTCCCTTGGGAAGTTCCCTAGCACGTATGAGGGACAGGAGGAGGGATGTGGGTAAGCATATGGACTTTTGAAAACTGTTCTTATTATATTTGCTTATTTCTTTTGTGTGTAGGAGTTGGGGGTATGGGCACAATTAGTGGCACAGCTGAAGTGTGGAGGTCAAAGGACAACTTGAAGCAATCAGTTTTCCTTCTACTATGTGGGTCCTGGGGATTAAACTCAGGTCACCAGACTTAGCGGCAAGCTTGACATTTATTTATTCATTTTCTCTGGAATGTACTTGGGTCTTTCCAGTGCTTGAGAAGTGGTCACCATATTCTCTGGTTCCCTGGTATGAACATTGAGCTTTGCTCTGATCCATTACCACACTATCTCAATGAGTTGTTCTTGTCTTGTTCCCTCTGAGCAACATTAGAAGACACTGACAATAACAGCTGAGCTTGGACCCAGGGCTTCATTTGTTTTTAAAATAGATGTCTAAGTGGGACATTAAGTACAGTCGCTTGTATGCTCTGCTTAACTATTTCCAGCTGCCCCTTCAGGTGAAAGCACCTCCTTCAGAATGATGCAGTGCGGAGCATGTGGAAGGTTGAGGGTATAAATAGGAAAGAGAATCAACTTCAAAGGTTCTAATGAGCTCCCTCAGTGTAGGAAGGTTGACTTTGTGTTAAAGTAGTGTTTTGATAAGATTTTCCATGGGAAAAAATATGATTTGGAAATAATGATCAGTTGTAGAATTTTTGATATAATAAAAATAAATCTGAAAACAGCACAAGGTAGTAGTTCTTAGAAAGTTTTTTTTTTAAAAAAAAAGTCCCATAAAGAGGTGTGAATTTACAATCATCTTTCTGTCAGAAGGTGTGTTGGTGTGAAAATGAAACAATAAAATATGAAATAAGGATTATAGTATTTAAGAACTCTAAGTAGTATGAGTATGCTTTTATGGACTGTTTTAAAAAATATTTTATATTCAGGAAAAATTGAAATTATGTACTTTAAATTGTCTTCACATTTTAATGTACACCGTATTTTCAGTTAAATGAAGACAGTGATCTTTTGTAGATTTGTTATAAAATAATATAAATCTTAAAAGACAGCCCAATGCCAGCAGCAATGCCAACATTGCAGACTTTAGGACAGAATGGTGATATCATACATCTCTAGTCTATAATCAATCTATTGTGTATGTCAATAGCAGCCTGGATTTTTATGTGACTTTAATAGAATTAACTATCTTACTTTAACTTTAGCAATTATTAGTATATGTAATAGAGACCCTGACTGTCTGCCAAAGAGAATTACCCTAAGTGAACTTCATTTCTTCACCAGAAGAAACTTACAGAGTCCTTCTAATGAAAGAAACCTTTCTTGCTTAGCTAAGAAATGTCTCTGGCTAATTAGTTTAACTTTTGGCCCAATTGTCTAAATAGATCATGGTGGTTGTTTGAGAACTTATCTGTACTTCTGGAAACACATGCAATATTCATTATAAAAAGAAAAGAAAACATTTGCTACAGAGAATACGGTTAAATTCAATTTTTAATTGGTACGCCAAGCACCTGTGGCTGGTACCATGTTAAGGCTTTTTTCCATTATGTGAGAGTCGCAAAGAACTACACTTCCATGCACAGGATTTGTTTATGAAAAAGGAGAAGTCTAAAGACTATCCTTTGTTTTAAAAATAAGTAATAGCAAATATATAAGTATATTTTAATTGAACCTTTAACTTTACTAGTTTTGTTTTACAAATAAAATACAAGATGTGTTTTCTCCTTTGGTCTCTGGGTGGCACTCTTGTCTGCTCAACCTAGCCATGTGGTTTAAAACTGCTGGAAGAGCCAGAAGCCTGTGAGTGTTAGTGTGTACAACATGATGTTTTACAAAATGCTGTCCTAAATCTGAGAATGTCAGGATTATGTCCATAGCGCTCAATAAAATGCTGAGATAGAAACAAGCACTAAGAATTAGGCATCATTGCAAACAAAATGCTTGAAGTAATCGAGACATTCAAGTGTAAAAATCATTCATAAAATATATATCTCATAAATAGCCCTCTGTTTTTGTGTACAATCATGTAAAAGCATAGTTTTATCTAATACAACACCAAATTTCTTATGTAAGTCAAATAGCCAAAATGTAGTACTTCTAAAACATTTGTAATAGTGTTGGCTATCTTATTAACTTGTTTACTATCCAGCACAATGGCCTTATCAGATAGCCTTTCTCTCTCAGTGTAGATTTCGTGTGGGGTTTTAATTTGAATAATTGAAAAAATTCCATAAAATGGTGATATGATGATTTTCTTTCTTTCTTTCTTTCTTTCTTTCTTTCTTTCTTTCTTTCTTTCTTTCTCTCTCTCTCTTTCTTTCCTCCCTCCCTCCCTCCCTCCCTCCCTCTCTCTCTCTCTCTCTTTCCATGATGAAGTTTGTTGTCATTGTTGTTTTTTCCAGACAAGATCTCACTTGGATGTCCTGGAATTCACTATGTAGATCATGCTGTTCTGAAACTCATAGAGAACTGCCTGCCTCCCAAATGCGCGATAAAGGCATACACCACCTTTCCTGACCTTGGGTCTGTCTGTCTGTCTGTCTGTCTTTCTGTCTTTCTCTCTCTCTCTCTCTCTCTCTCTCTCTCTCTCTTTTAAAAAAAAACAATATTAATCTTGCTACCAGTTCAGAAATAATTAGGATCTTAAGCATCTTTATAATAGTGACCAATTATGAACTCTGCATGATGTGCAGGATTACTTAGCCTATGAGGGATTTCCTTTTGACCTCCTCTGGTCAGCTGCATTGTGCCTGTATGGGATGGAGGTGGAGTGGGAGGGTGTTTGTTTCTCCTAGATCCACAATGCCAGGAACAATGTGATGTCCTACTGATTCTTCTCCACAGTTCACTTGGCTAAATATCATGTCCTATCTCACAAGTAATGAAAGTTCAAAACATCTTGAGAATTTTTACCAAATGCCATATATTCAAAAAGTTGTTAGAATTCGAGGAAAGGCTTGACTTAGTCATTGGGCATGTCTTTTCTATTGATTGACAGATAACATGTTGATCAAACATTTCTTGACCTTTTTCCTTCCTTGTTTTATTTTGCCTGACTATAGGCCTTTCCACTTCATACTCACTAGATCTCCGGATGCCTTGACCTACTTCATACTCTGACCTACAGATACCTTCCCAAGTAGTTGCCTTTCCAGCTTTCTGTCATTTTTTGGTTTCTCATCTAAAGCTGTTCTTGGTTGTTCTTAGTTTTTCCTAATGTTAAAGCAGCTTTTTCACCTCAGCCTTTCCCAAAATATTTTGACATGAAAGGAGCTATGATTTGGATTTATTAAAAACATTTCCTATTAATTTCATGATTATTTAAAACATATGTAAAGATCAATATGTGTGAAATGGAAAAGGACAGTTGAGGAAAGGAATTTTATTTTCATGTTTATAAGAACATATATCAAAGACTGGAAAGTTTTCTTTTCTTAAAATAAGTGAACTATTTTTTAACAATGACTTACAGATTTACCGTCTTAATGTAATTTAATTTGTCTGTTATACATCAAAGTTAAATTCTCTTTTAAATGCAAAGCTTACAATAATACAAAGTTATTGTTGCAAATTTGCATATAGAAATTTCGGGAAATGTGGATCTTTGTTATTGTTGTATATAATATTATATTATCATATTTTCTAAGGCAGCAAGAAAAAAGCATAAAGCTTTCCTCAGGTGAAGAAGACTATATAGTTCTGCTCTAGAATAGCCATTGACATGCAGGTTTTAACCTTATTAACATAATGTTATTATATGGTAGAATATAATGTGAGGACATGTGACATTTAGAGCCTTCAGTGGAACTGAGTTCTAGTCTTGGCCTTCATTTCTGAGCCAAGTCATTTGGGCTCATCATGCCCTGGTTCTGTGAGTGTCAGAGGAGCATAATTATGGAGGGCTACTTCTCATGCTAAGCATGAACCCTTATGCGAATGACTACAAAGGACTATGAAGACAGTAACTCCAAGAGCCTCATGTATTTCATTTTTCTGATAACTGAAAGCATTACATTTCTTTTATTACCCATCTGTCATCTTACTTTTTAATATAATGATTTGGCTGAAAAACATACTTATGTACTATGAAATTTTACAAGTGGAGAAATCCTTACTCCTTATGTTGTGGGTCAGACATAAATAGTGTTTACTTTGCCTTGTATACCCATGATCTAGAAATGTCTTTTGTGGTTCTATGGTCATAGGCTTTCTCTCACTCTCTTCTTGCTTCTCACCTAACTCAATGAAGGATGATGGAAGACTGAACTCTGCATGGGCCACACTCCTTCTAACTGGGTTGACATAGCACTTGAAAGACTTTTGATGAATGGGTTGACATCTTGAGGGAACTGGGTCCTCCTGTCTGAAGGTTCTGCCTAGACACTAGCATCACTGCGGGCAGTCAGATCTCTGCCAGTGCCAGCCTC